GTCAGACAGTATAGCTTTCGAATCTGCACATGTCGATAAAGTTCAAATCGTGTTAAATACTGATGAATATTCACTAGTAAATAGCATAAATTAATCAAAAGGTGACAGCATTTAAACTATCAATATTACAGAAATGCCTCACTGAGCTATAGATACTATTATCGGATATCTTTTCTACTGAATAATTTAACAGAAAGGAAATAGATTTAATCTGATCGAAAGAAATTGTGGTTGGTTGTTGTTAAGTACAAAACTACATAATGAGCTATCTGTATTCTATCCACAGCAGGTACTGAAACCCGATTTTTAGCATCATAGCTCTGCAGACTTACCGCTGAGCCGCTTGTAGGGCGAAGTAATTGTGATATAGCTATATATATTAGAGAATATTCAAGGTTTGAATATTTTATCAGTTTCGAGAATTTTTCTATTTTATTGTTATATATAAACGTTCTGTCGTAGAATTTAGTCAATTTTATTATATTGTATGGGGATGGTTAAGAAGTTTTAAAAAATGCCATATTTACAGCTAATTCGTTTAGCAAACAATTAAAACACAGTAATCAGACTTGACATATTGTTTTCAACACGGTCATGTAATTATATAAGAAATACTTTTGTCTGTAATAATTACTCATTCCATACTTAAAATACTTCAATAAACTCCCTCCATCTAAGCTGTCTACAAATGGTTGAACATATTTTAAAACGAAATTAACTTTAAAAGAAGAAAAGAATGCAGTGAAGAACACGTTGTTCTAGTATCCTTTGGTACATTATCCCCAAAACTCTGTCATCCTTCGTTTACTACTGCAGATGTGTTCGACACTTGACAAGCACGTTGACTAAACAGGTGTTCTAGAACAGCTTTGGTTGTGTTCTTGAGATTAGTGCCCAGCTGCATTAGATCTGGAGAGTGTAACACTTAGGATAGCAATCCCACAAAACTGATCAGTTTGGTTGGATATTATGCAGTGTCTAATGAATACAAAGTGGATTTTGGTTTGATGTCCAGTTTTTATTGAAGAAACACGTGTTTATAACACCGTCAGTTTCCAATAACGGGAAATATAACTTCTCCAGCTTGTCAAGATATGTAAGTCCAGTGATTTAGTTACTGAGGCAACACTATATTTACTTATACTGGATCATTTAGTACACCTCTTAGGATAGATAGATATTGTGTCTTTAAGTTGTTTATTTCATCGTTTAATTGTAGTGTTCCGTGACACTAGTGCACGAACGATTTGTCAGAATTGGCGTTGCGCGAGAATAATAGACTTTAATTCAGATTCCACGTACCAGAGAATGGTCTGTAATTTTTGCTGAATGGTCATAATTTTAGAATTACCTGTTGATAAAAAAGTGAATCTTGGTTTAGGCCAAACTGATGAGATAGAATAGGACTTAAAGTTTCATTTCATACGTATACTTCATCGCATTTCCTTGTGGTATTATTGTTGTTTACTGGTCTACAAAGTGTTTTCTTTATAATTGAGTTAAAATATGTATTTCAGTAAACAAGATACATGAAAACTGTTTTAATAATTTTGAAAACCTAAAAGTTCCATTTTAGTATTTTTTTTATTCTATTTCTTTTTCTTATTGTTATAAAAAAAGAAAGTGGAAAAAAATTAAGCCCAATAGTATAATAGTATATTTTTTTACAACTAAGCCCAAAAGTTTAATCACACTTTGAGCTTTGATGCTATTACGACCCTGTAACTATCTTTTATGACGTACGATTTATATGTCATATTTGATTACATTATTCCAATCGACTCGAAGTTCGAATCCTCGTTGCTGAATATGCTAGCTCTTTTAGCCGAGGGAGGGCTTATAATATGATGGTCAATCCCACTATTCGTTGGTAAAAAGTAGTCCAAGAGTTGATGGTGGGTGGTATTGACTAGCTTCCTTTCCTCCAGTCTACCACCGCTAAATTATAGACGGCTAGCATAGATAACCCTCGAGCAGCTTTGTGCGAAATTCAAAACAAAAGAAACTTTACTCCAAAGTATTTTCTGTTTTAACGTCGATAAGGTTTACTTTGTAATTTGTCCGTTTTTTTCACAAAATTATCCCATTTTGAAAAGGCATGTTGTCTTAACTGAACGGTATACTAAAATATATATATATATATTACATGTTTAATAATATTTACCAGCAGACCCCGCCCTTTATGATATCATATACTCCTAGATAGACTGATATATTAAATTATTTACATTATTTATTATTAATGTTTAGTATTGATCTATGTATGTGGCCTGCTTTGATCAAATATTATTGGTAAGTTATATTAGAATATTGCTAAACGATGTAGAACCAAAGCATATAGCATTTTGTAGAAGGAAGCCTTCCCCATGAAAGGGAAAATTAGGACAGTATAGACTGTGTAGGAGAGTAATTGGATTCGTAGTTGTCCCCCTTTCTCAAGTAAATCTAGAGTAACACCTTTATCCACAAAGTGAAGGCTACAGTTATGAAAGAGAACCTTCCGACCTCTTCCTCCACAAAAAAATACAAATAAGGACTTGAAGCTGATGAAGGCTCATAATCTGAAGGTTCACAATCTTACAGCCATATCTCAAAATCAACAAATTTTTACTGAGAAATATAGCCGCAAAAAAATTGAAATCTCACATCAAACTCATTAATTGACTACATACCTCAAATCCTCCGATGTAGTTCCAACGGACTTTTGTGTCTTTGGTGTACTTAAACAATGATCTTGGAAACTAGCGTCCATGTACCGTGGATAATGATGAATAACATTCTACATATGTCCACCAAGTTTCATTAAAATCCGATCATTTTTGACTGAGTTATAGAGGAAAAATTGTGTGAAAAATCGGCCTCCATGTTAACAGATAGGAATTTTTAGGATTTTTGTGACCCAACCTTGACCTTTGACCATCCAAAAATTAACCATTTCTAAGTTACGTCATGTATACCAAATTTCGTCCAAATCCATTGAAACGTTTTCGAGAAATCTTGTTAACAAACATACACACACACACGGGGGAGTAAAAACATAACCTCCGTCCACCTTCGGTGGCAGAGGTAATAACAACGTCATACGACATGTTTCTAAAAAATATGTGGTATAATGATATAAGATAGAAAACCACGAAGAGTATTATTTTTCTTTAATTTTGTAAGCTGTAGAAGAGTTAGAAGCTACATGATTCAGGTCTATAACTTGAATTGTTTAGAGACTTAGATAACTTGCCTTTGGGTGGTCGGTACCATTCTGTGTGATGTGTGCTATTAGCTTACTCTCTGGAACCTTTGCTGCAGAGGTATATGGATGTGAAAGGTTATTTATTTTCAATGCTTTAACTCATCGTTTTAACAGGTAAAAAGGGTGTCTTAATCTGTAAAAGGCTTTTAACACCTTAAAATTTATTGTGTTTTTCTTTCATCTCTAATTCTACCCTTTAGGAACATTCTCATATTCAAAAAGAACTCAGAAGACTACAAAGTGACGCATAAAATTAGATGAGTTATATTGTTTAAGATTTCGTTTTCTTATGGTTTACTTCAAATTATACTAAAAATGCTGAAATTGTGCAGAGAGATTTGAAGTATTTGTTGAGCTAGGATAATGCATAGCACATACCTTTTAATCTTAATAAAAGTGAGTTTATCATCTTACAGCCTTGCAGGGGAACTATTAGGAAGTCTTTAGAGTTTCTAAACAATGTACGTTCTCTGATAATAAGGCAAACAGGATTTTAAGTTGTATACATAGAAATATTAATTATAAGCCAGTGCACTATTAGGCATTGATCAGGTCTCATTTGTAATACTGTGTTCAGTATTGCCACTTTATGAAATGATGTTGAGTTGTTGGAAAGGGTTAAGAGAAGAGCTATCAGGATGTTTCCAGAGTTTGAGGAATTATGAATTGGTTTGTTTTAGCGCAAAGTCACATTGGGCTATCTGCGCCCTATACACCGCAGGGAATCGAGCCCCGGATTTTAGCGTTGTAAGTCCGTAAACTTACCTTCAACTCACCGGTGGACTATCCTATAGGTATAATTTGAAATCTTTTATGTGTTTTCGTTAAAAAGCAGAGGGAGTTAGAGGGATATGATTAAGGTAGTTATGATTCTTAGAGGTTTTGGAATCCATAGTAAAAGATGTATTCAAACGGAGTAGACGGCACAAATTAAAGGTATGGAAAACTTAAACACAAATACAGTTAATTTAAGACGGTCTTATTTTTCTAACAGAATTATTGGTTTGAGAAACACTTTATATTCAGGTGTGGTAGAGGCCGTAATGTTGAAAGAGTCTCAAGAAGAGGTTGGATGAGTATTTTGCAGACCGTGGTTGTGTATAAGAAAATAGTTTTTTTTTTTTTTTTGTTCTCAGTTAATTTAAGGCGGTGTTATTTTACTAACAGAATTGTCGGTTTGAGAAATACTTTATATTCAGGTGTGGTAGAGGCCGTAATGTTGAAGGAGTCTCAAGAAGAGATTGGATGAATATTTTGCAGAAATAGCTTTTCTTCTCAAGTATTTATTTAGTTCGCAGTAGAATTGTGGTAGAAAAGGGGATAGCCTAGATGTTCAAAGGACTCCAAGTTATATCTTAGAAATTAGATGGTTTATATACTATACGATAATCAGTCGGTGAAATATATCTTTACAAGCGCGTTTTCCGAGGGTAGCTCTGAGGATTTTCAGAAACTGTTACCAAATAAACTTTGAAAAATATTTAAGAGTTTTAGCTTAGTTTCAAGTGCTGGTACTATTTTTCAAAATTTGAATTGTGATATTAGCGCATGATAAAAATTTTGAAATAGCAAATAAATAAAAGTACAATTTGTTCTTGTTCATAAATTTTATTTTGCTTATGGTAATAATTAAAAAATATATCCTGAAGTGGGAATCTGTGTTTTTCATAAAATATCAGTGATATGAGACTGCTATATATTTTTGCAATTAATTTTATATAATACAAATGCGATACAAGCGACACGTAATTTGTTTGCTATGTAACCTTAGCATATCTACACGTAAGGAAGAAAGTAATTTAGCAAATTCATAAATAGTGGATTTTGACAGCAAATCCCTTATTTCCTTTGTATTACTGGCGTTTATCATTTATAAACATAACACAGTGAAAGTAAAGGTAGGTTTATGTTTTAGCTTAACACATAAGTTCAACTAAATTTAATTTTAATTGTCATACTGTTCAGTACCGGTAGGTTCCACATAGTGTATCACGTTGCCAGAAATTTTTTAGTTTTGTTGTACGTTCTATGACTCCCATTGTTAAGTGTTGGTGAAATCATTCATATTCTATACTAAAACTTTTAGTAGAATATATATAGGAATCCAAGCATTAATGAAAATTGTGCCATAGTGAGATTAATTGCTTTATTGATTTCTTTTTACACTTTTTTTTTTTGCAATACTAATAGTAATAGTATTGTACTTTTATTTTATTTTTAGTATTTCAGTTTTTACTAAGTTTAAGAACCTTATAGTTGTAGATAATAAAGTCACATATCCATATGTAATTATGTGCATGAAAAGTTTTGGAAAAACTTGTTTAAAAAGCTTATTTTGGACCCCATTAATAATTCAAGAGTTAAATCTAATTACAAATTTAGGTTTTTTTTAATAAAGTTTTCACTTACATTTATTGATTTACAAGATCTAAAACCTAAACTCTCAAAGTCAAACCTTATTGTATGAGATAGTGTTGATAGACTCAAGTGCTGTAGGAATAATATTGCTTTTATTGTTCTTTAATTTATAAACTTATCACTTATACTGTTAGTTTAATAGCAAACAATTTCAATGGGTTTGGATGGTGTGTTGCAAATATAATGGGATTTATGCACACCAATAGACAAAATCTATTATGAATAAGATTTAGTTTCAAAGATGGCAGAACCTACTGCCAAAAATCAACTTTTGTGTAAAGGCATTCAAGTAGGTAAGATGCATTAATTGAGAATGAGGATTAGAGCATTAATTACATTGGTATGATATGAAGATGGATTTTGTTTGAATGCCAGCCAGTAAAATAGATAGTAAACATGAAAACTTAGGTGAAACATAGAAGCAGATTCTTGGAATCTGGAGGAAGTTGGTTCACTAGTACAAAAAAAGTAAGATGCCACAACACTGATATGTGGGGCTGGAGTGGATACCCCCCCCCCCCATTTGCTTAGGGGTTTGAGGGCCTGACTAAGAAAATTTTAAAACGTTGGGGCCAAAGTGGGGAATTTAGTGTTATTTAAAATAATCATAATTATGATTAAATTAATCAGTCATGAAAACAAATCCACTAATCAAAATTACTGTTTCTTGTTATTACTGTTTTTGATTATTTCTTACTATCTTATTAATTGCCATGTTGATTTCTCAGTATTATTTTCACTTAATTCAAATTGTTCAGCTTAATATTGATTAGTGTTAAAACTCGCAAAAACAATCAAATTATCTAAATTAGTGTTTCCAATTGTTACTATTTTTGATTATTCCAACTATCCAAATCTTGTGAGAATTGTCAAATAATCAGCCCAATGATTAATAAATTTGCAAGTTCTACTAATTGCCAAGCTCTAACAGTCTAAGTCTGGAGCACATTTGATTATGATTTGAGCTACAGAATTTCTGACATATAATAACCATACCCTTTTATGTCCAAATAAACTATATTATTTATTAAGCTTGTCCCTTCCAAGGTATAATCCAAGGTGAGATATTCATCTCTATTAAGAGTTAATTAAAACCTGAACCACTTCAGAATTATTTCACTGTCCTAATTATTATACATTTCTGTGTGCCTGTAACAAAAGCTCACAGCAATAATGTCTTCTGCTAAATTCACAGTAATAATAAGGGGGTTTGAGTGCACGTATTAGTGCTTGTTGCCTGCCTGTCCACAAATAACAATTTAAAGTTTATCACTATTTTAGCTTGTTTCCTTTTCTTTCTTTTAAACTAATGGATGCTTGAGCTTGATAATTTTATATTTATCATATTTGTTCTTAAAGGCATTCAACGACTTTGCCTCCAGAATAACTATCATTATTGACTATTACATTCCATTTGCTTACTGCTCTTTGTGTATAGAAATTTCTTCTTGTTTCCCTATTACAATGTTTTTTGTATATTTTTGCTGGGTCCCTTGGATTCATTATAAATAATTTTTCAGCATTTATATCTTCAAATCCCTTGATAATCTTAAAGGTGTCTATTATGTCTCCTCTATGCCTCCTCTTCTCCAGTGTAGTTAGATTTAATCTCCTCAGTCTCTCTTCATTAGCTCAGGAACCAGTTTTGTGGCTCTTCTTTGCACTCTTTCCAAGGCATCAATATTTTTTTTTAGGTATGGTGACCAAGCTTGTACATCATACTCTGTTGTTTAATGTGTATATACTGTTAATTATTGTATATCTAGATTTTGTTAGAAAGTGTGCACTCTCCACCTGTATAATAATAATAATAATAATTAAAACTATATATTACAAAGAGGATATGTATGTGTTAAGTGTCTCATCCAGGAATTACAATATCATCATGCTGTACATGACTAAAACCCCTACTTTACCTGAACTAAAAACAAAGTGGTAGGAACTCTCTTTGCTTACAGAAACATTCAGTTGCTTTTGTTCTAGATTTATTAATAACAACCTTGGTTTGAGTAATAAAAAAGAACAAGGGCTAGCACAAACTAGTTTAGCATTAGTAGGTCCCACAGTGTAATGGGATATTATTTATATGTGTAGCACAACAATTTGAAATTATGGTTTGAATGCTGAAATCTGGCAGTACATTGGAAATTAATATTGCCAACATATAATTAACTGTGTATGAGCAGGATGAAGCCAGAGAAAACTGGTAGAGGTCTGCAGCAATACTGATGTATTGATGTCAGAGGAGATTATTTCTACAAGAGCAATGAACTTGCATCAAATCTTTGCAGTACAGTATGAATTCTACAGCAGTTCTGCATGGCCTGCTGTAGGACACAAGTGTCTATGAGCATTTCTAAGAATGGTTTATTATGCTCCACCAGAATTTCTAGTTGAAGTTCTGAAAAATCTGGTAGTATCAATTCAAGTTATCTCATTTGATTAAGCAAATTCACCGGCACCTTAATATCAATAAAACTAAAGCATATGGAAAAGCAATTGTAAGTTATGCTCAACCATGAATATGGAACACTTTCCCAACCTGTCAAGTTGTATGCTGTTGTTTTTGATTGGGAACCACATTCTCCCATACAATGTGACCGTGTATTAAACCATCTCAAAAGTGGCGAAGATGTTGATGAGCCACAGTATAATCCTGCTTGATGGGATCTGTGGAGCAGCACTCCTCCTCTAACAGAAAGATTCGTAAGCTTAGAGACCAAAATACCACTACCTGTACCTATTTGTCTGGAAACAGAGAGAAGAAAATTAAAGCTTGGATCAGAGATCAAGCTTAAAAGTTTGAGAACCATTAATTCAAGATGGATCTTCCATGTTGCCAGTAGAATGTTTTAAGAGCTTATCTCCTCCTCTTCTGAAAATATTAAAGAAGTAATTTGACCCCATTGAGAACTAGGACAGTTACTTGCCTTCAGTCATAACCTTTGTAAATTACTTGAAACTCCCTGGTTACACCAATATGGAAACAAGGTTGGCTGAGTGCTGATAGCATTTGGATCTTAGCCTGGGCTGTGTCTTTCCAAATATTGAGTGACACCTTATAAGTTGTTAACTAGGAGCTTTCCATCATGCTTATGGGTTTCTGAAGTGTGTGCCATTGCCTTGCAAAGCTTTCACAGAAGATACTTGCAGTCAACGATGAGTAACTTAGTTACCCATGTAACTCATCTTGAAACACAGACCAAGGAGTCTAATGTGTGCACAAATCAATTTAGTCTTGACTAGGCCCAAGGGTGCAGTGAAAATGTGCACTATGGTAAAAGCTTGTTTTACTAATCTTATGATATTCTTTAAAGAGATGCAGTAAGTTTAAGGGAATTTAATGGAAGGCTTGATAAATATTTGGTTGGCTTTGAGTTTTTTTTTTTGTTAGTTTAGGAGATGGGACAGCCTCGATGGATTAACAAGCACTATGTTATTCTTAAATGTGATGTGCTAACATTTGCAATAAAAATTGCACTAGAGTCCAGATTTCCTCAAAACATAGAATTTATATGAAGAATTCTTAGCCTGTGTAAACTATAAACAAAATATTTTAAAGAAGCCTTATTATAGAGGAAATAAACATGACATAAGTGTTCTTAAAACTTCTTTATTAGTATTTTTACTGATGAAGGAGAACATGTATTTGTAATTTCTTCAGTTTCCATAGTGATGGAGAGGCTTTTTCTTAACTGTTGTGTTTACTTAAGAAAAATGATTTTAGAATAGTGATCTCACTATTGAAAGGTTTTATGTTAGTTAAATGTTTGTGGAAGAGATATGATACATTTAGATAATTTAGTGTTTAGTATTTGTTGTTTAAGTATTAAGAATGTCCTTCTGTCTCATCACTGAGTCTGATATATTTTTTTTCAAATCTTATTGATATATATTTCACAAACTATACATTATCACATGAAAAAATTATCTTCATCTTGGTTATTGTTCTGCATAGACGTGGTTTCCATACTGACACCGAGTTTCCTTGTGAAAGCTTGCACATTGGAAGAACCATCTAAATAGATGCTTACTGTGTGTAGGCATAAAGCCCATCTGATTTGTAAATAGTTGAATGAAGCACTAAATTGTGAATGAACAATATATTTAAATCTAAAATTACAAGGAAGTACATACTACATTGTCTTGCATTGAACAACAAGAATGTAATACTTACTTGTCTGACAGAGCTTTTATACATGTAAAACTAAAGTCAGCAACACATAGCACTTCTATTAAATAAAGAAAGAAAGATAAAAACGTAAAATAGTTAAGTCTTTAAAATTTGCCATGCCATTAGGACAATCTATTTTACAAGTTAAAATTCAGAATTTTAATTTCCATATTAAGTACCACCACTCTCAATTCAGTTTGTCCAGAGATTGAAAAAATCTTCCGACAGACAACCTATCTAAGACCCAAACAATTTTGAGCTTATGATCAAATTATCTCCACTTTTATGCTACATCAAAAACAATTGCAACTATTCTTGAATATTGCCATATCTCAAGATTTTTTGAAAGAGGAATTATAAATGGTTTTTGTACGTGTAATAACGGGTTTAGTAGACTATTACATCTACATCCAGACATTCAGCTGGAGGTAAGGTTTTTCTAAATGTTCACAATCGTATATTTAACTATTTCCTGCCATTCCAAGCAGTTACCTGGAATGCAAGTTACCCCCAAATCACAGGATGATTTTTTCCAGTGGCTCACTCACATGCCTGACTTCAGCTACATCAACTTTAGATTTGCTGTTAGGTAGCTACATAAGCTCTTGGTTTTCTGCAAGTTATGTCATTAATTCCTACATTTTGTATGCATATCTTTAACCTACTTATTCTCTAGTGCTTTTCTCAGTTCCATTACCTCCTCATTTAACTAGCATATTTAACTTTCATCTGTAACAATTCTCTCTCAATAGATAAAGCTGTCCTTTAACAAGCATGAGATTTCAAGTCTCATCAACGTTGAGACTAATCCTATTACTTTTTTTAAGTTTTTAGTCTTAACATTTGATGTATCCAACATAATTAGTGCCATGTATTCCTTTTCTCCTTCTAACAACAAAAGTCACAGTTTCCAGTGTGGTCGTTTGAGTTGTTAATAAGTGCATTTTTGGAATTGCTAGCAGGGTTAACCTTTCACCTCAGTAGAGCACTGGCCTAGTGTACAAGAGGTCTTGGATTCGAATCTGAGCCAGTGAAATGTAAAAATGGGTTTACCATACAAGTATTTTTTTAAATAAAATAGGTCTCATAACATGAAGTTTGACAAATCCAATAACCATTAAATTTCTGAATTAAATTCATTGAAATTCTCTTGTATCCCAAACAGGATAAGTCTTATCATTATTATATGTCTCTCTCTTAAACCACAAATAATTCTAACAAATCAGGATAAAATAATAAATAATATTCAACATTAATATATAGATAGGCCTAAATAAAATGTTTTTAATTGTGTACCAGTTTAACGTTGAATATTATTTATTACTTTAACTTTATACACAAGTGCCAAAATACTATAAATCAGGATAATTTCTGTTGTCAAAAAAAGGTTGTAACTAAGCTGTGATTGTTACTTTAGTAAATGCACACAGTAAGAAGTCATAAGATTTTGCATATAATTGTGACTTTTGGGCTTAAAAAAGCAACAATATTAGTATTATTTAAATCATCAGGATATTAAAGTAGTCAGCATTGTGATTGTGCAATAAAACATGAGGATATAAAATGCCATGAATTCCTAAATTTAAGAAGACATTCAAATAAAGATCACGTGACATCTGGCCTTTGGACACTTATTATAAGTATCTTCAAAAAAGGGAACTACAGTATTAGTTTGGAATCCCAGTATTCTTTCTGACTGAATTATAAAGGTCTTTCCAAATTCCCTTATCCTAAGTAAATGATCCCATGCCTTTCAATATTAAAACACGCGTTTTTCTAATTCTGAGACTTAATTATGTCAGTAGAAAAACAGGTTTTGGGTTTGTTCACTGTTGATGCCAAAAATTATAGTGAATATCCTTAATTTTCTTTATTTCTACATTTTGGAAACTTAGGGTATAAGCTTGAGTGGGTATTAGCAGTCTATTAATGCTATTCTGTACCACTGTTATTGACTATGTAGTGTATGTAGAAGTTCTCTAATTGTTTGAGAAGGTGGGTTCATTGAATCCACGTCGGTGACCAAAGTTTAATCATACTTCAATAAAGCAAATTTAGGGTAACATTAAACTTGCAAAAAAAAAGTTACAAAGGTCTGTCAGCTAATTATGTAATCACAGAAATCATGTCGATGACCTTCAACGTTATAAAAAAAAAAAGTAAAATCCCTCAGCTTATTTTCTTTGATTTAGTGCTTGTAAGAAACTTCTGCTGATCACTAAAGTTTTTTATCTTAGATTGTTGAATATTCATTTGTTTTATAACTTTTTGTGAATCATTCTGAAAATTTCCAAGAACTATAAGAAACTACTAATGCAGCTAAATAAAATTCCTTGCTGTTACACACAGACGTGTCAGTCGAATATACATTATTTCTCATTCACTTTTGATAGTTTTATTTTTGATCGTTTAAATGTTTTGCTTTCATTTTTGCCTGAACTATTTTAGTTTTTACTTAGATGTGTATTGTGTAGGAATTTGCTAAATTATTAGCTAATTAAAAAAACTAAAATTAATCTGTAGTGATGAAATATAGTACAGAAGTTTGACAAAAAGTGTTTGGCAATGCACAGATTAAAAGGTACCTAAAACAGCATACATGTCCTGGAAATTTGCCCACTGTATATTTTTTTATTTAAAGGATCTTTTAAATCTCTGAAATAAACAAATTAGCCTTGAGAAAAGAATTTGGTAGTATTCCATTCCAAAAGCAAAATACTTGCATATGTGTATTACTAAGTCCAAGTATATATTTATACTTAGACTGTAAGTATAGGCACATATACATAAACATGCAATTGTTTTGAATTATTTTTAATAAAACAAATTAAACAATTAGTAAGTAACTTGGAATTTGAAAAATATTCAAGATAAAGGTGACTTTTTTTTCATATGTACTTGATGTTAACTTGTTCCAAAATAAGATGTGAATTTTTTATGTTTAAACTGATTGGTTATCCATACTTGGAACCAGACTGATACACTAACAGTTAGTTGACTTATATTTTAAGATAAAAATATATACGACCAAGAATAGTAAGCACTATTGTAAAAATAGTTATCTTGGTAATGTGTGTACATATCCGAGTGATTCATGTAAGGCCTTTTAGGTTTACTACTGAACTTTCTAGCTTATTAAAATGCATGATGATTTTGGTTAGTGCTTATAAAGGCCGATTTATTGGAATTTCTTATATCAGAATATGTCTTCAGAATGTTATATAATTTACTTATAATAAGTTCTAGTGTTGATTATATACAAAAACAAAAAACGATCCAACCATATTTCAAGTATTTGGTAATGGAAGACTTGTGAAATAATAACTAACACATTATCTCATTGTAGTGAATAGTTTGAAGTTTTGGTTAAATGTGTTAATTTTGTTTTTAAAATATTGTATATAACATTCAATTAGAGCTTTTCAATTAGTGTAATTTGACAATTTGTTAATCATTACATTCAACTAATCAATTATTCTCAAACAAAATTCGGATAGTTGGAATAACTGAATAGTTATAATTGGAAGTTTGATTAGTTGATTATATTTGTGACAGTAATTAATGTAATCATAATTTTGATTAATTGGTTATTTTATGTAACAATAGTAATTTATGCTCATAAATAGTCAATTATATTGATATATCAAGTTATCTGCCTAGTTCTGTATTCAATGTTAGCATATTTTCTTGTGTCAAAAATACTTTAAAAATTATGATGATTTGAAAACTCCAAGTAGAAGTTTTAAAGATACGTGTAATTGAATGTACCTTTAAGATGTGGAAAAACTTGTTCTAAAATGGATTTGATGTAAATATATCAAACAAGATCCCTGACTTTTATACTTGAACATACTGTAGTGTTTCTTGATAGTTGTCCACTTAAATCATATCTCATCTCAGAGATATGTATAATTTAAATCATTTAGGATCAAAGATAGGTAAATGACTGTTCAAGAAACTTCATACTTTGGTGCTGCTAGCTGTGAGGATGCTGCTGTTGCTTTACAAAAGGATTTAGATCATTTAGTGAGTTGGGTGAATACATCGCACATGGGTTTTAATTATAATAAATGCAAGATAATGCATGTGAGTTATCATAATTTGGATAGGAATAATCTTAAGAGTGTTATGAAAAAAGGGATTTCAGTGTAATGGTTAATCAGCCTCTTTAGACATCCAAACAGTGTGTTGTTGGTAGTGGTAGGACAAATAGGTTATATTTACAGAAATATTGAATACAAATCTAAAGAGGTTATAATTTCATTAGTTAGGCCAGATTTGGAGTATTGTGTTCAGTCCTGGCCTCCTTACCTAAGGAAGGACATTGAGTTGGTGGAAAGGGTTTAGAGGAGGGCTACTAGAATGATTCCTGGGATGGAGGGGTTGTCATATGAGGAAAGGTTAAGATCTCTGGAGTTGTTTTCTTGTGAAAAAAGAAGAGGTAGGGGGGATCTGATTGAGTTAAGGGAACTTATAGTGTTAATATATCATACTTAATGGTGTGAATAGTAGAACTCGGACACAAATACAAATTATGGCAAGGTAGGAGTCATCTTCAGTTAAGGCAGTTATATTTTTTCTAACAGTTTAGTTAGCCTGTTAAACAAGTTGCCTTTAGAAGTTGTAGAGGCAGTAAATTTAAGTGAGTTTAAGAGAACACTAGATAACTGCATGAATAATGAGGGTTGACTTTGAGGATATATATATATATATATATTGTTGGTAGAAA